GTGATGAACCCAAGGGTGGCAAACATTTCAGGGCACGTCTTTGTTGTCTGTGGATCAACAAATAGGGAGAGTTCTCTCCTTTTCTGTCCTCCTTTCCCACAGAGAGGAAGAGGATGACTATAGGGTCTGCAAGTTTCCCTCTGAATGTAGTGAGTGAGAAAATACGAATAACCTTTCGCATATGCTAAATGCCGTGAGTATGGCATCTGAGTCCCTCTGCCATCATGAATCCTGCAAATTTTATCTTCGCTTCGCTGAGTAATGTCTACGTGATGGACACTTTTTGTTTTATAGCTGCTCTCCCAACATTTATTCTGGTAATAGCGCCTTCTCTTCCTTTGACAATGTCTCTTCTATCCCCCCAGTCGTTAGGGGTTCAGATTATTGCTGGTCATAGAAACGTGCCTGTTTTCCTCCTGTGTTTAGTCTTAGTAATGGAGATATGACTATGCCCAAAGTAACTTTAGATTTGAAGAAGTCCATCATGAGACGTCATCAACCTGGCCTAGTTAATGGGTCCAAAGTTTGAACAGTGCTCCAAACCAGAGTCAGCCAGAGTACTTCCTGGAAGTCTTTTTTGAAGTAGATCTTGGATAGTCAAGCTATGAAGATATGAGCCTGAAGGACTCAAATGGCCAGCTCTCTGATCACAGGCAGAAAAACGAGGAGGCAAAAAGAAGTTGATGGGCTGGGAGAAACAGAGCTGTGAGTACTTGGTTCTGGTCACCTTGCTTCCTGGAGGACTGAATTCCTGCTCTCCCTCAGCTCTGCAGTGCTTCCCTTACTGGGAGATACTCGTAAGATTCCTTCTCTGCCCATGGCAGTTCCAGTTGGGGTTTTTCTTCTTAACAAAGAATAGAAATATACTGAGCATGGGTATATATATTTTTGGTTCCTCATCTGTTTCATCCCATGGAAATTTAATTCTTCAAGTGGGACCCTTGCTGATTTCCAGAGCTTAGAAAATACTTTCCTTCTGACATTTACTGAACTGCTTCAGCAGGGAGAGCGAGAGGGACAGAGTCAGTGTCGTCCTGAGGTCACTATCTTGGAGCTATATATCTGGGTCCATTTTTAAAAGCTTTCCTTTTGTGTTAATTTTGTTTCTTCCTTTGTGACTCAGTTCTGATTATTTTCTTTCTCTTTCTGAAATATAAGCTGATTCCTGACCCCCACCACATATACACTATAATTGAGAAATAGTGAAGAAATTCAATGTGTATGGTAAATGATATAATAGGATTTGTTTTTTTTAAGTGTAATAGGACTTCGGTTCTGTTCAGTTAGTCGCTAAGTCGTGTCTGACTCTTTGCCACCTCATGGACTGCGGCACGCCAGGCTTCCCTGTCCTTCACTATCTCCCGGAGCTTGCTCAAACTCAGCACCAATGAGTCAGTGATGCCATCCAACAATCTCATCCTCTGTTGTCCCTTTCTCCTCTCTCGATGCTCTCAATCTTTCCCAGCATCAGGGTCTTTTCCAACAGTTTGGCTCTTCTCATTAGTTGGCAAAGCATCACGAGCATACAAATATTATTTCAGAAAAAAATTTTAAATGTCTAGTGATTTCAGCAATTAAGTTTTTGGGTCTTGACTAGTCTTAGTCACTCTGAGAGCCTGGTGTGATCTGGACACACATCTGCCACCCTGGGTTAGACTCCTGCATATCCCTTGTACTTCAGGGCAAGTTAGTAATTTGATCTTTTCCACAGATCCTTTGTCTTCCATTTAAAACTAGAAAAAAGAAAAAAAAAATATTTCACTATTATAACAGCTAGAAATTCTCCTTTGTACTCTTTGATAAGAAAAAGCTATCCTAAGAAGGGATGAAATTGGGGCTACAATCTAAAGTACTTCCTTCTTGAGAAAATAACTTTTTTCCCCAAAAAAACCTATGAAAAAAACTAGAATGTGTAATCTTTTTCTGATAACATACTTGAACAGTTTTTTATTTGAAGCAGAACTTTGCTCATCAGATGCTTTTATAACTGATGGTAATTTTTTTTTATAAGCTTGCATAAAGTTTAACTAGTCTTGATACTGACCTAACAACCTTTATCATACATCCCTTTCTTGTTCCTTCTCTAGCAATCATAACTAGACACTTCTTTTTTCTATGAACACTCCACTAACCAGAAGAATCTCTGAGTCGTCTTCCTGTCTCTGTTGCTGCTGCTGCTAAGTCGCTTCAGTCGTGTCCAACTCTGTGCGACCTCATAGACGGCAGCCTACCAGGCTCCTCTGTCTCTGGGATTCTCCAGGCCCGAATACTGGAGTGGGTTGCCATTTCCTTCTCCACTTCCTGTCTCTGGCTAGTCGCAAACAAAACTGATGTGTGCCCACACCAAATCAGAGAGGTTTGCTCTAACGCACTGTAAAACTCACATTAGGTGAGAAAAGGCAGGCAGTCTGGGCTTTCCTGGCTCTCCTTTCCCCTTACATCTTTGACAAGGTTGCCGAGCCCTGCACCTCAGGGCCTGCACTTACCTCCAGACTCCATATTAAGACAATTTTCTAATTTAGAGTTCCCTATATTATTCAGTAATCACTCTTCTACACAGCAGTCTCTGAGAACTAACAACATTATACCTCTGGATGCATCACCTAATCTTTCACTAAGTTGTTCTCTGTGTATGTGGTATAACTCTCAGTTGGCTATGAGCTTCTTTGATGCCTCTGGTAGCCCTTTGGTAGAAATAATCTTAAAAAGACAACATGGAGGGTTTATTATACTCCAGACACAATACTAAGAAATTTACTGGCAAAGTATTTAGGACACTGCTTAGCACACAGTAAGTCATTAATAAAGATTTGTTATTAGTACTATTTATAGTCCTCTGAACTTGGTACTATTATCTCCATTTCACAAATAAGGAAGCTGTGAGTCACAGAGAATTACATAACTTGTCCAGGGTCACAGAGCTCATGAAGTGGCAGAGACAGAACTTGATCTCAGTCTGTTTGACACCAATATCTATCCATAGTCTTAACTGTTACAAAACGTTTGGCTAAAGGCTCCCACACTAATCAATCTGCTTTTTGCAATAATACTATTGCAGTTTTCAGAGAACTGTAAATTGTACTCAAGACTATGTTTTGCTTCAGAATTCTTCCCTCTTTTAAAATTCAACTGCTTCACAGATATAAGGGAAAAGGCATAAGTATTTGTATCTCCTGGAGAGTTTCATTTTGAAATTTCAAGGCCATTGAAATATGTGTCCTTAGGGAGAACAATGAATTTTTCAAAACTTCTAAGTTGCTAAGGAACTGAATTTTTCTCTTCTGTTAATATGGTTTCAGTTAGCTCTTCTAGTTATACTTTCTAGTAGTTCTCAGCCACCAATGCCTCTCTCATAGACTACTTGCTCTCATAGAAAGAACTAGACTATGTCCATGGTTGGGCAATATCAAAAGTTCATGGGTGTATGTATAATATAAATAATTAACAATATTATTGGAGATTCAACCTTGATGGTGTAAAGCACCTTATTTCCTTTGATGTTCACAACTGCTCTGGGATGGAATGGCCTTTCTCCTAGCCACGTTGCCAGATCGTAGAGGTAGAAATGCCCACTGGTGCTGTTGTCTCCCAGGGCTCTGAAGAGGCCTTTCCTTTTTTCCCATCTCCTTTCTGTCTCCTCCTCCCTCCCAAACTCCGCCTGCCCTCTGCTTCCTCAGCGCTCTGAGGGCTAAGCCTGCTAGAAGGGAACTGAGGATCGCCAGACTCTCTGGTACTTGGGGGCCCTCTGAAAGGCTCCCGGAGCCCTAGGGACCAGTCACGTGACAGAGTCTCGACCCAGCAGGCGAGGTGTCGTAACCTTTCCCACTTAAGCAGCAGCACGACGCCCAGACCCCATCCCTGGAAGCCGTATAACCTGGACTCCACCCGCCCCTCGGGCCAGGGCTCCGAATTGGGTCCTCCGCCGAATCCCCACTGGAGTGAACGAATGAGCTTGCAGGCCTGCAGATAGATCCTAGAGGCGCTTGGCAAAAAAAAAAAAAAAAAAGGTGTCATTTAGAAGAAAGTTGGGTTTCCTACAGGGACTGCAGTAGGTAGTAGCGGCCACTCTCCACCTGGGGCTGCGCGGCGGCTCACGTGCGCGCTGGGCCGGAAGGATGCGCTGGCGGCGGGACTCCAACGCTGCGGGGCAGAGCTGCGCCCCGCGGTTCCCGTGGCGGCCGGCTGCCCGGGTCCAGTGCGGAGGAAGCGGCGCGCACGGCTAGCTGTAGTCCATCTGAGGCCTCCCTCCCTGCCTGCTCCCCTCTCTCCCGCCTCCCGCCCCAGAAATTATCTCATGCGTTGCCACTGCGATTCCAGAGCCCCACTCGGGTGGGTTCTTTTGTTTCTTTGTTTTAATGACAGTTCCCAGCCCTTCGGCATGTCATGCGCGATTAATCCCCTGGCTCTCTTGAAGGCAGCTGGGGTGAAATTTCTTCTGCACCATCCTTTTGGGGATAATTGTTTATGATGTGACGTCAGCCGGATTGATTTTTCTCCCTTGAATGAGAGAGAGAGAGAGAGTCACAGATGTGTCCGGAGGCCACAGATACTGACATTTGGAATTCCTTCAGGGCAAAGGGAGATGGGAATGGGAGCTTGAGTGTATGCAGCCAAGACTCCAGGCTGCACAGAATTATTGAGAAGTTTTTCTTTAAAAAAAATAATAATATTAATAAGTCCCCTCCGCAGCGAGTCACTTAGGTGCTCCTTTCATGCCCGAGTCCCCGGTGAAGCTGGCGGCGTCTGATAATTAATCTCGGGTACCCAGCCGCTGCAATAGGCTTAAAACGAAGAGGAGGGGCGGGGGAAGTGCGTCACCAGGTGGGGAAGGGGCTGTGCATTCGGTGACAAGCCGGAGGGGATGGGGGTGGAGGGGAATGGGGACGGGAAATAGGTTCTGTGTGCTCTCCCGGGGTATTGTGTCAAGAGATGCGGGCTGGCTACCATGTGACGCGGTCCAGAGCTGAAGGGATTGGCCGCGGCAGCGCAGGCGGCGCAGCTCGGCCGGCTGGCTGCTCCTCTCCCTTTCTCTCGCAGCATCTTCCTGGGAGCCTGTAGGTGAAGCCGCACCAGCAGCATCCATGGCCTGTCTCTGGGGTTAACACTGGTCTCCTTTGGCTTCAGCAGCGGACACGGCAGATCTCTCGGCGGCGGCAGCGTTGCGAGGACTTAAGCTGAGACCTGGAATCGTATCCTCCTGTGTTTTTTCAGACTCTTTGGAAATTAAGGAATGCAATTCTGCCACCATGATGGAAGGTAGGATGCTTTCTGTTGTGGTTGACTGGCTGCAGGCAAGATTTGGGGAGAACAGCGTTGAAATATGTGTGCAGACTGTGTTTGTGGCTGGTCTAGAACCCGGTTGCCAGGATGTGCAAATAGAAATGCTGCAGTTAGCTTGCAGCGGACCAGGGCTCAGACTAATGGAATCAAACCACAGGGTTTCTGTTTAGCTCAGAACCTACAGAGCTCCCAGCTCTTATGAGAGAGAAAAACCTAAAGTGCTTGCAAGGAACTGAGATAGAGCTACCAAAGAGCTTGCAAAGCAGAGAAGTTGGGAGAGAAGATAAGGTTTTCTGCTCTGGGTTCCCGGGACTACACTGATTAAACATTTACAGTGGAAACTTGTCTTCTGAAATTGACAGTAGACAGGAGAGGTCATTGACAGAGTTATCCATGCTGTCATTTTCAGTGAACTGTTTAAAATTTGTAAAAATTCTTCTAAGATGTTTTTATCTCTGCAATTTACATCATATCTTTGGGGTGAGAGGTTTCATCTTGTCTGCAGGCTCTAGTTTTATGGGGCTGTCATTTCAACAGAATGAATGATGTGAGGAAAATATCTGGGACTCTTGTCTTCTTATTCGGGCTCTTATCAGGTTTTTTTAAAAAAGAATTTTGTGCTGCTTAAATGCCTTGCCTGTGCCATGGTTCTTAGCCAAGTATCGAATTAACTGATTAGCTTTTTGCATTCAAATATTAAGTGTAAAGAGGAACTTTCCTGGGGGAGATGTTTAAACTACATTTTATTCTACTAAACTACCCTTCTAAGCTTGACATGGTGACAACCAAGATTGCCTCAGAGAAGCAGCAAGCTGATTAGGAAAGAAGCAGGCAGCCCTACCCTGGCTTTGATTTTCTGCTTTCACACTACAGGATGGTGCAAAACTCCTGGCCTTTCCTAAGATGACAGGCAGAAATTTGTCCCCAGCCTGGATTTCACAATGCAGAATCGAGTGCATAATGGGTCTCAAATCTGCCATGAAAATGGCAGAGAGGCCACCTCTTAAGTCAAGGTCTGTCTTACAGATTTGAAACATTCCTTAGAAATTTACCAAAATGGAATAAGAAGAGAATGGTTGTGGGGGGGGGGGGGNGGGGGGGGAAGAAAAAAGAAAAACAGCAGTGTTGCCTATACTTATTTGGCAGAAATGAATTCTTTTTGCTCTGTCTGTCATCATGTCAAACATTGTTAATGTGATTTGGGGGAGTGAAGAATTCTACAGTCATGGCCCACAGATTTTAGAAAATAGCCTTAAAAGAGAGATTGGGTATCATTTTGTTATGAAGCCTAGTCTTGTTTGCAAAGGGTTCTTAAGCTAGTTCTTTAAACACAGGCCTAAATAAACTAAGTTTACTAATGATCTAAGATCAAATCATTTTCATTAATTCAAACTGAATTTAACCTTTGAATAACAAAGCAAGACAAACAGAGCATTACTGAGGGAGTTTTCATTTAGAAGCTCATGTGCATTGCCCTCTTCAGAAAAAATATGTGTCTATAGAGGTACTAGATTTCTCCAGCTACATTTCATGTAACATTTCTTAATAAATCCACATACATTCTGATTAGATTTTAATCTTACACAGGGACGCGGAAGATTTACTTCTTGCCTTATAAACTATGGACTGAAATTATCGCTGAAGGAAGTAATATTTTTTTATGCTTGTTAATGATTCTTCTGGTAATATTGTCTATTGTGTGATCCCAGAATGTCAGTTCAAAGCCCTGTGATAAGCTTATCTGAGCTGACTACACTGAAAGGAGAACTGTAACAAAGACTTGTGTTGGAGCTGAATTAACACTATTGCTCTGCGTTTGCCAAATTTATCTAATGAAGGATGTTATCTTAGTTCTGTTAGGAATTAAAGGTGACACTAGGAATGCGATTCCCATCCATCAGATCCTTGCAAAAGAAATTGGACAGGTGTTTCCAGTAGCTTAAAAATTTAAATGAAACCAATATTTTTAGTCTACCTATAGTTCCAGCTTCAGTGCTATTCAAGACTTATTATCTTCTTGGTTCAATGACCTTAGAAAGGCTGGTGGGAATCTTAACTAGAAGTCCAGTTTGCCTATCAATGGCCTTCCAACTTAGATGCCTGCCTTTCTGCCAATATATGCAAGTTTCTGATACTGCATCTCACAATTTCACCTCTTTAATTCTCTTACTCTGAAAGTGTGTTATAGCAGTTATCATTCCCACTTGACTCTTCCCTAGAGGAAGCTAGACTTCTACCTATCAAGATAGTCTTGGAAAGATAAGAAATCCCCTAAAAGGAACTGAAAATCCAGTCATGGCAGCCGTCCCAAACATCAGTGGGCTCAGAGAATGTGTCACCAAACATCCAGATCGTTAAAATACTGTCTCTTCTTAATTAGTACATGTGACACACACAATCACACACACACACACTCATGCATAGTTATACACACATATGTCATCTGCCCATATACATTATTCTAGAAAGGGAGAGAACTCACATTTGCATTTGTGTGTATGTGTTTTTGGTATTTATTAATGTCTGCTGCTCAGGAAAAGCATGGCCAGCCATGGCAACTTTTCAAAGGTGCTTCTCTACTTTGTGTAAAGGAAGAGTAAACAAATGTTCATCAAAATGGCTCATGGTTTACTTTTGTGTTCTCATTTTGATGGAATAGGATATAGGCTCCATTCATTCTATGTCTATTAGAAATTCCGGCCATAGAGGAGCATTGTTACTACCTCTACACTGGTTCCAGCATCACAGAAGGCAGTGAAATAATCCTGCATGGACCTCAAGCACGTTACTGGTATTATACTTTGTGGCTCCATGGCTTTTCAAATATTTTCCTTTCAAAAGTGCATTTTAAGGGACTTGATTTGTTGATTTCTACATTTTTTGGGCAATGGTTAGTATTGGGTCTTTCCTAAAGAATATCATGTGATGTGGAGCCTTAAGTAGTATGACTATGAAGGGGAAAAGGATGAGCAAAAGGAATTATTAATACTCATAAAGGGTGTGTGTATTGGCCAAGCTTACAGTGCAGTCTGTGTGATTAGAGCAACTATTCAAGAATTTTGTTATTTTACATATGTTATTATTAAAGTTTGAAAATGACCTTTTAGCTACTTTTTTTTAAAGTAAGTGAAACTGAGTCAGGGTTTCCAGGGACATTTGTTAATTTGTAAGACAGTATGGGAAGTTTTCCCTTGCCTGGCAGAACTGGACTGAAAGTGCTGATGTTTTCAGTTCCCTATTCAGGCTCTTAGATGTTTTACTGGAAAGAAAAGTTTGGGGGTGCCAATGGTTTCATCCTAAAATAATTTTTAAAGTTAGCAAGCATATTTTAAGGATTCACTGGGTTTACCTGCAATGTGCAGATTAATTTAATCAATTTTATTGTCTTTATTAGTCACAATTGCCTATCAGTAAGTATATTCTGCCCTGAGTGCTTCTGCAGTACTTCTTCTAAATTGCAAGAATAAAAACTAATACATTGAGGTAAAAAAATAGGAGAATATATTCTGGACCCATGTTCATCACAAAGCTCCTAGTTTTGATCCCCCATAACATTTTAAATATGAACTTTTTCTTTTTTCTTTGTATCCAAGTGGACATGTTAACCTGATTGAAAACTACGCCTTAAGTTTTATTGGTTGCGTCTGTCTCTCTTTTGAATATGAGTACTCACAGAATCACACTTCTCAATTCCTTGCTAATACCTACTATCTCCAAAATCAATGTTTAGAAAAATTTAAGGAATTCTAGGTTAACTGATCTTCTGTTGTTGCAAGGAACCTTGTAATGGTAAAAGCTTTTCTTTCCCCTATCTAGAAATGAAGTGTATTTGTTTGGAAAATTCTTTGCTGTAATCAAAGGAACAAAGCATTTTGAAGCTGCAACTGTTCATTTTGTAGATAGCTAAGAGGGTTTAAAGGGACTGCTTCTCACTTTTCTATCAATTCCCTTCCCAGAAATAATGATGTTGTTTCGGAAAATCTTAAGGAGGCATATGAGATTTTAATAAATATTCCATTCCTTATGCAATTTCTCTCCTTCTTAAAGGGCTCAAGGTTGGAAAGAGCCTCCTTTCATGTATAAACTCCCATCTAATTCCCAAGGTCAACTTTAAATCTCTAAAAGAACATGTAGTCTTTAAAAAAATTAACTTAGATAAACCATGCTAGAAGACTGTGAATAATTTTCTCTGTTGGATTTGGCACATATGCTATCCGTGTTTCAAATAAACAAGTTGCAGGAAGTCAGCAACTCACAGTTTTTATGTTCCTGAGTTTGTCTGTGAAACGGTCACTTGAAATAAATCTTTCTGTAACAATAATGATGTAAACAGCAGTTGGATTCTCTAACTAAGTCCATCAAAGATTATCTACCTGAAACTAAATATTTGCCATGAAATGTATAAAGAACGTGACATTTTATATAGTAGTTAGCCAAAAGAAAACAATGACATTAAATGTGTTTTCAGTTTCTAATATTGCTATTTGAGGGCAGGAAGGTTTACTGGAGGACAATGAGGAGATGGAGAGAAATTTCAAAGGGATTTTTTGGGGTATTTTTAGAGCTTTTAGAGACTCTCAACGCTGGATTTTTAAATTCTGTTCAATTTTACTTTCGTAATTGTGGTATGTGCAGTGCTGTGCTGTGCTTGGTCGCTCAGTCATGTCCAGCTCTTTGCAACTCCATGGACTGTAGCCTGCCAGGCTCCTCTGTCCATGGGATTTTTCAGGCAAGAATACTGGAGTGGGCTGCTATTTCCTCCTCCAGGGGATGGATCTTCCCAACTCAGCGGTTGAAGCTGTGTATCCTGCATTGGCAGGCAGAATCTTTACCAGTGAGCCACTAGGAAAGCCCACTTGCATTATGGAAACTCATGAATGGAATTAAGAAAGGGAGAAAGATGATTGTTAAGGAGCCAGGAGCTCTGGCCTTCTGTGCTTCATCAAGCTCATCTAGTATGGCATGTACACCAACAG